CCGAAAATGAAGTCTTCAGATCGCTCTGTACCTTCTCAGTATTATCGCTTTCTTGTCTTTGTGAATAGACTTCTGCTGTCCCAGCTTTCGTATTAAATGCAAAAGGGAAGGGTCTCGAGTGCTTCTTCCTCGACTTGACACTCCACTTTGATCCCACTTCGAGCACTTGAAAATCAATCAGTTCGGCTTCCCCGAGGTACGCTGACGCGGGCCTCGGGGAAGCCTCGAGTGGAGCTCCCCAAGCATCGACAGTATCTCCATTTCGAACTTTGTGCTCTCTTCCCGCTTTCGGATTAATTTCACAGCACCTCATTAGTCGATTTTTTTGATGTGATAGTTCATTTTTGATGTGCGTTTATTTGACCGCGTCCCGACCTCCCCCCCCCCGCTCCACTCCATTCTATGCATCTAAGAGCACGCATCCCACCGTTAGAGCAGATGGCAATGTTTGATTTTAATCTGTTGACATTGTGATGGCTGAAACGAGTTAAGACGCTGAACCCCAATAGTTGGCAGTATATGATGTGGAAAATAATTTAGGACTAAAATAAAGGACTGTTATCTATGTACTTTCATGGAGTGCAGGCCTCTCTATTTTCATCAAATAGTACGACTAACTCTCCAGAACACGTCATTGAAGCTTTATGATTTTTTGATGTGAAAGCTCCACTACCTGGGACAACGACAACAACAGCAACATCTTTAATCATCCCCTGTCAGAAGCTATCACTTTCTGTCTCCGATCACCCTATATATGCCTCGATACCAGCGCCTAGCCTATGCTGTGACCCACTGTGAATGTGGTGGGTTTACCCTTCTTCGCTATGGTACCTTATCAGCTTCTACTTGTCACCTATCCACAATGTTCCTGTCCCAAACCTATACCATACCGTGGAAACAACTTTTTGCTGTTGCTGTAACTGGAACTCTGAATTTCATGGCCTTTCCTTCTAATGCCTCTCTTCCAGTGCCAACAGCGCAGTTCAGCATCAGTTCCTGTCGCCCACCTCGTGCTTCTGCTTCTTCACATATCTTCAAACCAATCACACCATTGCTGCGATGCAAATCGTGAATTTCGTGACAAACAGACGCCCAAACATACATATTTAGCGGATATACATGGGGATGATAACAAGAGCTTTTGAAACACTTCAATTACCATCGATAGAAACAAGTTTTTGCCAACAAGCAGGTTTTTCACCGACATTTTCCTGCGAGGCAGGTTTGGTTGCAAACTGCTCCTGAAGCCGAACATCATATCCGCTTGACGCGAAACAGCCTGGTACCTGCACCACAGGCGCTGTCGCCAGAATAGCTAGATCACAAAGATTATTGAAAACTTGTTTGTAGAGGTACTTTAGCCTTCTGACCACGAATATCCATCTAGAGGTGCTGACTAACATAAGCTAAGAATGAGGGGAAATAGAGAACGCGTACCAGCACTGACTGATGCGCTCAGACACCTCAGGCTGGTGCACAGACAAACAAGGTCAGACAACAATGTACTCATCTTTGCCGGCAATGGAGATCCCTCTCCTTGCTAAGGTTCAGCCTCGGTACAAGTAGAGATCACTATGCGTGCATCGGTCTGTGTTGTTCCGCATGCTCCCTTTCCCCTCATTCTTAGCTTATGTTAGTTAGCACACCATCTGGATGGATATTCCACTATGCGTGCATCGGTCTGTGTTGTTCCGCATACTCCCCTTTTCCTTATTTTTAGCACAATTAGCACCCCATGTGGACGTGATATTTGTGGTCAGGAGGTCAAACTACCTCTGCAGACAAGATTCTAGCAAACTTTGTGATTTAGAGTGTCCCAAGGCGCCTGTGGCGTGGGTGCCAGGCTGTTACAGAACGAGCGAATGTGATCTTCATGCGAAGGAGGCCAAGTTACTCCCGGCTACAGATTTTCAGGCGAATGTGCCTATGAAGAGAAAAGTTGGTAAAAAAAACTGGCTCGAGAAGGTTATGTAGGAAAGGGTAAATAGTGCCGAAATCACCTCTTCTGACCGCAGTCCGTGGCCGTTCTGATAAGGGCGTATACCATAACTATTGCAAACTGTGAGGGATGGCGAGAGTACGCTCCAGACTAGCCATTAGTAGCTTGAAATATACTGTGCGTCGTATGTACGAAGGCAGCATGTTGTCAATGTAGCTGCGGCTTCGGTGTATGCGGTGTCTCCACAGTGGTCCGTGGGTCCACCACTTGTGAAACACAAAAGATTGTCTGAAGACAATGATTTCCAGATGGCAACATGGGCTCGCCACCTTCATGACGTTTTTTATCTCTATGGCTTGTCACTCAATGAATCTCTCACGCTGGATCCCATTGGAGGGCATTCCAACGCTACATCTCTTGCCCGGTCAATGAAGCGAAGTTTTGTAGGTGAGTACTCTGATTGTGTCTAAAGTGATCTGTTGTTTCTAAAGTGATCTGGAACCATGGTACAGCATGGGGATGTGCGAAATGGCAGTGTAAGTACGACCCTCCCCCTCGATACGACCCCCCTCCCCTCCTGCTCTAACTGACAACCAGATGCATGTTCACCACAAATGGCTTCCTGAAATGGAATCGGAATTTCGAAAGCCGGACTCTTCTCTGAAATCCAATAAGAGCCTGTTTCAGTGAACAACACCTCGCATTACCTACAATTTTGTCTTAGGATTCAAAATAAAACTCCTCGTTCGATAACCATGTATGACATGCAACTAAGAAGGAACACAATCGAAACAGCGACTAATGGTGATCATTGATAAGCTAAATTGGTGAAAAAATAGCCCCAAGGTCAGCGTGTCAGGCCCCAGATGTGCATTCAATGAATGGTGACGGGGAATGCACGACACAACAAAGCGAAACATGAAAAATGCAAAAAAATGCGGAGCCAAATGAAAAAAAACCAGGCGGCAGTAAATCGTTCTATACTTTGGCTATTATCGATCGCAAGGCTGCGACCGCTTTCGCTGCAAAAACGTCATTGGAGCGCGGTAACTCGAAAGTCTCCTGGGGTCTTTTCAGGAGCTTATATCTCTTTTAGGTGCGGAGCTTTTGAGGAATGGTGAGCAGCATGCAACGGCAAAGTTTCTACTGTTGTGTATTCTACCTAGTTGCAAACTGAACAATCCCCGTTGGTGAAATATTCCGGATGGGTTTTGGATAGGCTAGGGGTAAATCGCGAGCTGGTTTCCATGCTTCACGCGAGGATTGCTTCGTTCGAACGCAATTTCATCAGGATTAAAAACGTCCTGAAACCCCTCCATCTTTTCTCTTTCCAATAAGCTTTACAGTTTTTCTGAAGACCCACTAGTTCAGGAGATATTTTAGATGGGTCACAGACGCGCTACCCTCTGACCCACCCGAAAAATCGACTCCTTCTGTGCCATTGTGAGAATACACCTTCGAAAACTTCAGTGTGCCTTACAAAAACACACTGTTTCCCCTTCAGATGACGTGAAAGAGGAGCCTCGCCGCTATCACTGACACGATTTGGTCAAAGCTCGTGCGCCTATGCATCACGCTCCTATGCAGAGTGGTGGCGAAAGCCGTGTAAATTCTGATTTCACGGTGCGTTTCACCTATGCCAAGCCCAGATGGGTTTATTTAGGGTTTTGGAAAGGACAAATACGCACAAATCTGTTTGAGACGTATTATTTAGTCATCTACGTACATAAGAGTTCATGCTATTAAGTGATAGTTATTTATTTATTTATTCTTAATATTCTTGCTATATTGCTAATAAATTTTTTATTATTTTGTAGTCCTATTTACATCCGGGTCTTCTGCAGCTTTCCGTTCCTTCCATCAAACTTAGCAATGACACTTTTGTACTGTTTGATGCCTAGCGAGCCTACTTTTGCGATACTCCCCATGTCCCCCGCGGCCAAGTACGAACCCATTTTGGGGATTTCGCATGAAAAGAGGGCTGTTAAACGTCCCCCCCCCCCATCCACCCCCCCCCCATAGCAGTTCAATCTGTAAAGAATACACTCATAATAATTTTCATTTTTTTAACATCAACTTTCCATAGCTCCACTCCCACTATCAACTGAAATGTCGAAGCATTGCTCGGCTCTGAGTGACCCTTGAGATTACGACCCCCCCCCTCCCCAGCGGCCAAGTACGACCCCCCCTATGGGTTTCGCACAACGATGCTGTACCCTGCCTGGAATCCCCGATAAGGTTTCATACGTGCTAAGGCTCGCGCCACGATTAGCAGAGAAGTCGCTCTCCGCCCGCTGGCGAGTGGCCTAGTCCATGGTGAAAGCGGTTGCCCCACCTATGCTGCGGAACACTTAGTGACCGTGACGACTATGCCGTCGTTTCCCTCGTTGGCCACTAACGGCTATAGTCAATTAAAAATCAGAGGGGAACAGTGGACTGCAACACCAGTTTATGGCAATCTCGCCCGATCACACCTTCTCTTCGCTCAGTTCCGAATTAAAAAATTCGCAGTCTTTAGGATTACCAGTGCGCACTTTTTCTGAGCGTCCGCCACAGCTCTTTCTGCTTTTAGCACTACTGAATTTCTTAGCATTTCGGAGTCCCTAATTCAGTCTCAACTCCTGATCTACGGCTTCTGATCATAAGCTCTGCTTCTAATCGCAGTCCTGACAAGCGCTGCATTGGGTTCGCACTGAAAATATCAGAAAGCAGAATTCTCTTCAGTTTGAGACGAATTCGCGCAGGCAGTTCATCATCATCAGGAATTATGTAAAAGAAAACATAAGGATCAGAAGACGGGATTGACGATAAGGGCCCATGGCGAGCTCCAAATAATAATATCGTTGTACTGACCAGTTTTCATGTTTGCCTCGGAAATTATCACATGTTGACCTTTTCCATTATCTTCCCTCAGTTTGACTTTTTTGTTCAACTTCTAGCAGTTGTTGGAAGACAGGTTTTGCGATAGGGACGAACTGTTGAAAACTTCGTAAGTAGCGAGACAAAAACAGAAGTGTTCCAGGCTTTTTTTGCCAGTGTAGTGATGGCTAGTTCGTGAAAGATGAATCGTCAGTACTCCAGGCACTCCTCATCGTAGGTGGTAATCGTGACATTCAGGATTAACCGGATTAGTTACTATAAACTCCAATGGAACGCGTGTTCCTTTGTTCTCTGTGTACGTCTTGGACTCAAACTTCAATCAAGTAACTACGATGAACTTCACTGTGATTGATGGGAAAACTGTGAGTTACTTATCATCCTACTGCTCTTAGATTGAAGGTCAATGATCCTGCTTCAGGTGATCTCAAAGGGCTACACAAACGAAGCAACTACTCTTTGGGCTTCTCGAGGCGGGCAGCGGTGAAATTGTCTTGCACTTTCCTGACTCTTCTTAGCTCTCAAACAGTCATTTTTACAGACCGCTCGCACGCCCCAAGTGTGGATACACGGGTGGCGATTGTCCAAAACCGTTCTGGGAGGACTACGGTACATACGTCATAGTTGCAGCATCGCTAGTTGGAGTACTGTTGGTTGCTGCCGCAATTTTCTTTGCGTATCTCATGAGGTAATAATATGCTACCTGTAGTTGTAGCCAAATCAATCAGCTACTTAACTATCGTGGGTGCCTATCCTTCACGATTAAAGCAGAGGCTCGAAGGTTTCGTTGAGTACGTACTGGAAAAGTGAACTCGTAGAAAACGCACAAAATCTCTTTGCTAAAATTCCAGCAAATTCATAGATTCTGTAGTGTGCGCTGTAACAACTTCCCATCCCTTCTCAAGGGTGGAGATTCATACAAAATACAGTCGTTAAAAAATTAGGACTAGTGTTCTAGATGAGCCCTGACAAATTTCGGGGGCATAGTTGAACTCAATGATAGTGAAAAAAGGTCTGATTCTTTCATTCTTCGCTTCATCGTTTTCAATGCGTAATAGTGGTTCAGTATTCGCAAAGCTCCTTTGCGAGTCTCCGCTTTTCAGGATTCGAAGGGACGAGCAAGAGCGGCAGCGCTTGTTATGGCAGATTCCTTACATGAGTCTCAGAAGGCCGCAGAAATCGGTACGGAATTTGACACGATTTGTTGCCATGATTTCTTGAAATGATTTCAGTTCATTTGAATTAGCTCTCTG